TACTGCAAAAATAACTCTGCATGCATTATTTGCAGGTCCTAATCACATGATGATGGAGGTAAGCTTCGGGATCTTACCTTGGAAGTTGGTGTAGTGCTTCAGGATGCTTCACTAATAACTTTGCCATATGTGATACAATTGGACAGATGTGGAATCCTCTTGGGGTTGTGGGTGTAATTACAGCATTCAACTTCCCATGTGCAGTGCTTGGTGAGCAGTGTTTCTTGTTTTTCTAAATCGGTGCTCAGATTCTTCGTCCTTCCAACTTTGAATGGACAGAAAATGGAAAAGGAGTACATTTAGGATCCATCCTGCAATTTCAGTCTTGGAATATTTTGTATTCTATTTAGTTGGGTTTGCCCTGGACAACGCCCTTGGCGAAGTGTTTGATACTGCTGAGGTTAGATCATTTAGGCGTAACTAGTGCACTAAAGAGAAAAATAAGGTCATTCAAAGTCGGCCTTAATGTACTTGATGTTGAAATGTGGAAGGTTTATGGCTTTAACTACTTAGGGCCCGTTTGGTAACGTGCCAAATAGTAAAAATTTCTGTTCTTTTGTTCCCAGAAATAGTTTGGGAACAGAAATGCGTTTGGTAAACTTTTTGTTCCTCGGCACATTTTTGCAAAAAATTGTGCCGAGAAACAGTTTTGGAAGAGAAACAAGAAGTAAAAAAAAGTTGCTTCTTGTTTCTCGGCACAATTTTGAGAATCAGTTTTTTTTTTTTTTTCTTTTTTTTCTTTTCTTATTTTTGTTCTTCCCTGGCTGAGCCGGCCGCCGGTCGCCGGCGGCCGGCGACCGCCATGGCGAGCGGCCTGCGAGGCGTCACGGCCCTCGCCGGCCACCGGCGGAGGCGAGGGTCGCCTCGCAGACGGCGAGGGCTGGACCTCGCCGCCCGGGCGAGGCGGCTCGCCAGATCGAGCGAGGCCGAGCCTCGCCGCCTGCCGCGACGGCGAGGTCGGGCTCGCCCGTGACGCCTCGCCGGCGAGGGCGACCTCGCTCTCGCCGGGCGGCCGGCGAGGTCCGTGACGCCCTCGGCCCCCGGGCCATGGCCAAAGAAGAAAGTAGAAAAAAAAAAAATTTAAACAATTCAAAATATTATTAAAATATTATTTGGGAACAGAAATTTTGTGTAGTTACCAAACGCATTTCTATTCTTTTCTACTCTAGGAATAGAAATTTTGGACAGTTTATCAAACGCCTTCAAATACCCAGAAATTATTTCCGGGCACAGAATCAAAAAAAATCATTTCTGTTCAGAAATAGCGCCCGGGCACAGAATGGTATTCATGCGCACCCTTAGAATCTTCAATAATTTTCTCAGTCAATAGGCTCATATCTATTAGGTGCACCATCTAAAGTATTTGGGCTGACTTTTAGTGATGGATTGGATTGATGATTAACTTACCCATGAAGAACTAAAATTGAAATATACCTTGCTTGTGACAATGTCCACATACTGGATCGATGCATGGCTAAGCATTTTGTGGCTATAGGAAAGGTGGACCCGTGAAAGGCGTGTATACTTAGTTATTTCTATCAACGACTAAATTTGGGGTGTATCAAATTCCACAGATTTCATTCCATACATACTTTAAGACTTATTTTGTTGTTGTAATCCAGGCATTTGCTTTTAACTAACTTTTATGCCACTCTTTCTTTTACGATATTACATTTAAAGAATTTGTGCTGAACATTTCCTATTCTCCTTTTTCATGCATTTTTCCTTTTTATGTTTTTTCTAGGATGGAATGCTTGCATTGCACTTGTCTGCGGCAATTGTGTTGTTTGGTAAGAGCTCCAATTTCTTTTTTTCTTTTTCTTTTTCTTTTTTATCAGTTGTAGAACCGGGGATCCAATTTCTACTGCTAATCTATGTGTATTCTAGACTACAAGTGTGGACTTTAGAATGTGTACATTAACTGAAGTTGCTATGCAATTCGCTTGGCATTGTCGGTTATTGCTGTTATTGATTCATTGCCTGAATACTCTGCCCAACTTCTGGTCCTTGGTGCGCACATTCTTCAACAGCCAGATTTTCTCGATAGCTTCCTCTTGTTCATTTTTTCTACAATATCCAGCCTGATTTTTTCTCTGCCTACTGGTATTTGCCAATTAACTGTGCCCATAGTTTATCTTGGTTAAATATACAGATTTTGGATAACTGGACGGTTCTGATGAGGGACTGCAGTTTGTGTCGAATCTGGGGTTTCAAGACATGTATTTGACATGAATTGATCAGGAAGCAACTGCAGTCATTGTTCTCTCCTACTTTTTGGACAACAATCACCATCTTCATGTGTCCTTATCTTTATGTATCTTCAATGAAAATTAGCTTTATTTTGTTGAACATCTCCCAAGTCGGATATATCTTTTTGCTGGTCACCAGTTTATGAAAATTGCTTATTCGATGTCATTATAGGAAAGGTGCACCAACAACTCCTTTGGTGACTATTGCAATGACGAAGCTAGTTTCTGGTGTTTTGGAAAAGAACAACTTACCTGGTTCTATTTTTACCTCACTTTGTGGAGGGCCTGAAATTGGTCAAGCAATAGCTAAGGATACTCGAATTCCTCTGGTTTCCTTCACCGGAAGTTCCAAGGTACTACTGTATTCTTTCTGTATTCTCTTCTTGCTCACTTATTCGCAAGGTACCTTTCTCTTTAGTTCTCTATCAGAAATTAAGGTCCACTAGTATATTTGATTCATTATTTTATGTTCTCCTCTAGTAGAGCTGGAATGTTAAACAAAGCGATTCATCCCTTTCTCTAGGTTACTGTGCGGGTTGATATTCTCAGCTCCCAACATGATATGATCACATTTATTTTGGTGCTTATTTTTCTTGGGTGAAACCTGAGATCATTCTTTGTAAAAAAATTTATTAGTTTGTTCATACTCATCTACAGGTTGGTTTGATGGTTCAGCAGACAGTGAATGCAAGATATGGTAAATGTTTGCTAGAATTAAGTGGAAACAATGCTATAATTGTTATGGATGACGCAGACATCCAGTTAGCTGTTCGCTCTGTTGTTTTCGCTGCTGTTGGCACAGCTGGTCAGCGCTGCACAACATGCCGTAGACTGGTATTTGAGAGCATTTTGGATTCTTGCCAATATTTTGCTGTAGACACCCTGGAGTAAATTTAAGACTAATACTACGTATGCTTGCTTGCATTGAAGCTTCTCCATGAGAGCATATACAAGAAAGTACTAGATCAACTTGTTGACGTATATAAGCAAGTTAAAATAGGGGATCCTTTAGAGAAAGGTACCTTGCTTGGACCATTACATACTGCTGCCTCAAAGGAGAATTTTGAGAAGGGAATAGAGATCATTAAGTCTCAGGTACATATTATCTTTTGACTCTCTTACCCACTTTCAGCAATGATCTCAGCATCTGTGTTGGTTATCTTCTTCTACAACTACTTTCGCAACACCGGCAGTTTAAACCTTTGTCCAATTGTTACTTAGAAGCAACGATGTAGCTCTTTATTTGCTGCCTGATGCTGAAGCTCTATGTGGTTGGCTATTTGCAGGGAGGGAAGATCCTTGCAGGTGGCTCAGTTATAGAGTCCGAAGGCAACTTTGTGCAGCCCACGATAGTCGAAATTTCCTCAAAGGCTGCTGTTGTTAAAGAAGAGTTGTTTGCTCCTGTCCTATATGTCATGAAATTTCAGGTATCTCTTTCAGGATAGAAAATAATTTTCTGTTGAATTATCTAGACATTGTCCATTTGCAGTATGGTTGTGATTAAACTCAAGCATGTGTCTCTGTCATGCAGACTTTGAAGGAAGCAATCGAGATAAACAACTCTGTATCCCAAGGATTAAGTAGTTCCATTTTTACCCGCAGACCAGATGTCATCTTCAAATGGACTGGGTATGTATTTGAACCCCACAGATGTAAATTTTGAAGAAATGCCTTTATTCTATTTCTTACAGTTTCCTTTTGAAGGTATTTATTATAAGAAAATCTACAGAGCACCTACTAGTATTTGTGAAGACATTATCTACTTGTTCCGTCTAATGTTCCTGTCGAAGATTTTGCCATCATTCTTTATCCGGCCCTACAGTTTTAATATCTGTCTGTTATGTACATTGCAGACCGCAAGGAAGTGACTGCGGCATTGTAAATGTCAATATCCCAACAAATGGAGCTGAGATAGGTGGTGCTTTTGGTGGTGAGAAGGCAACAGGTGGAGGTCGTGAAGCTGGGAGTGACTCGTGGAAGCAATACATGCGACGATCAACTTGGTAACCTCTGATTATCCACATATGACACCGTGTTGTCATCTTCTTTTCGATCAACCTGAAAAAGTGCCCATACTTCGCAATTCAGTCTGACCTATGTTAATTTTCTGCACAGCACAATCAACTACGGGAGTGAATTGCCGTTGGCACAAGGGATTAATTTTGGCTAGTCAATTCACCCAACTGGTAAGCACGTGAGGTTTTTGCACCTTGTTCGCTGTAGTGGACTCGAATTAAATTTTATCGGCCTGTTCACTGTTGTGCCATCTTTTACATGCAGGATCTTGCTTCGGGGGTTTAGGCTGTTACCAAGATCGCTCCTGTGAACGAGTTTTCCGGTTACAAAGAGCTCTTTGCCTAACTGTAAGAAGACAATAACTCTTATTGAAATAATTGAATGGTTTTTACCAGTAGCAATTCAATAAAGAAATTCCCAATTCTGAGTCCTCGTTAGTTGGTGTACTACGAAAGGGGTTCGTTACTCTGCCCTCATGAAACTTGCTCGCAAACTCGATTTTCCAAGCTTAGAGTGCAGTGTGCGATCACAGTCGAAGACGCTACTAGATCAAGGATAACTTATTTGTTGTGGTTGACCGTAACATGAGTGAATCGGTTGTCTTAAAAATAGTCCGTTTGAAAATCTTGAACATCTTGTCATAACAAATTCGGAAAGAATAAATTATGTACGCTTGAGGATAGCTCAAATTTACGCTTGTGATGACAGTGGCACGACTTTCATAGCTCGTTAAGATATGAAATGCCTGGAGCACACAATTGGTGTGCTTAAGACACTAATGCATTTTTGTAATTTTGAGGTTTTTTTTTTCTTTTGTATTGAGTGGGAGGGCGTAAAACGGAGATATGAACCTTGAGTAGTAAACCCTCGAAACGAGGAAAGAACTTGATTTTAGGAAAAATCGATGAACTTGATGAGACTCGGACTGGAGTGGATTTTTTCTTTTTGGGTCAACCCTGGACTGGAGTGGACTTGACTGCGGTGAAATTGTCCGCTAGTCGATGAAAAGACCATGGGCTCTATACTCAGAAGAGCGAGGATGGTGCAGAATCAGTGATGCGGTTAATGTCACGGTTAAGGCGCGCATGGAATTCATTCTGGAGTAGAAATTCTGCTCCAGAATGCATTCCGGAACAGAAATGCGTTTGTTAAAAAATTTTCGGAATGCATTATTGAGCAATTTTTGCATTCTGGAATAAAAATACATTTGTTAAAAATACTTGATTCCAGAATACATTTTTTATTCCAGAATGAGTTTTGGGCAAGAAAAAGAGAAGCTACTTTTTGTAGATTCTCTGTTCCAGAATGCATTCTCCCTATTTTTTCTCTTTTTCTCACTAATTTTTTTTTCAGAAAATGCATAAAAATTGAAAAATTCCAGAAAAATTCATAAAAATTTCCAGAAAATAAAAAAAAAAGTCAGATTTCGGGAAAATAGGAAATTTGGTGAATTTTTTTCAAAAAATATAAAAAAATCAAAATTTTCAAAACTTCACCGAGTGGCTTAGAATACCTTTGGACACCTACTTTGAGTGAAATTTAATTTTTTTGAGGTGCCCAAAAAAATCAAAAATTTCAAAACTTCACAAAATAGCTTAGAATACCTTTGGGCACCCACTTTGAGTGAAATTTAATTTTTTTGAGGTGCCCAGAAAAATCAAAAAATAAAAAATTTCAAAACTTCACAAAATGGCTTAGAATACCTTTGGGCACCCACTTTGAGTGAAATTTATTTTTTTTGATGTGCCCAAAAAAATCAAAAAATCAAAAATTTCAAAATTTCACAAAATGGCTTAGAATACTTTGGGCACCCACTTTGAGTGAAATTTAATTTTTTTGAGGCGCCCAAAATAATCAAAAAATCAAAAATTTCAAAACTTCACAAAATGGCTTAGAATACCTTTGGGCACCCACTTTGAGTGAAATTTTTTTTTTTTAGGTGCCCAAAAAAATAAAAAAATAAAAATAGATTTCTGTTCCAGAAATCAATTTCTGGAGCAAAATTAGTCATGTTTTATCAAACAGACTTCTCCTCCAAAAATTAATTTCTGGTAAGAATTCGGAAATCAATTTCTAGCAAGAATTTGATTTCTGGAGCAGAATAGTTACCATTCGCGCCCTTAATATCCCCTCCAGTAGATCTTAGCCATGGACTTCCATTGTATTCTTGGTGTCCGTTAAGAGGTAGCTTCGTCAAAGAAAGGACTCGATGTGCCCGAGGTCCGGACGAGAATTAAGATGAAGCCTTTTAAGGACATGCTCAGGTCCAATATCTCCTCCAGGCACATGAATTCCTCTCGATGAGGGGGACCTTACCCATTTGCTTAATTTCATATCTTTCATCAATATAAAAATTACCTACTTCTTTTATTATCTCGTATTGTGTAAAATCAAATTAACTCGGGATTCATTGCCCTTAATTGGGCTCTGGCAACCCACCTGCGACATTTTTTATTGGCAAGAAGCCACATTTACCCTCCATTTGTCTTGTGGTTTCCAATCAGAAATGACAGAATATAATTTAAAAATATGCCGTAACGTAGACTAAGCATTATTTCTTTTTTTACATGAATTGTCACTTCCAAAAGTCATTAGCACATGAAAGGAGTCCTTTTGGCTTCTTCAAGGTAAGACTCTCTCTATAGTAGAATTCCTACAGCAAAGGGCAAGGACAAACGATAGATAATAGATTTGGGCTAATATCACGAAAAATTCTAAACCGGTATACCTGTGGTAAATTTACCTCCAAACGAATTTTTTTACCGCAAAAAATTCCAAACTTGTACACCTGTGATAAATTTATCCCAAATTAATTTTTTGACCATTAAAAATCCTAAACGGGTAAATTTGTTTACCCTATGTTAAATTGAATTAATACTACGAAAAATCACAAATTGGTACACATGCGGCAAACGGGGAGTGAAACCTCAAATTAGTATACCAGTCAACTGTCACGTGTCATTCAACTCAGAAATTTGACGGTAAAATATAGCGAAAATTAACGGAAGGTAAAATTATCACAGATGTACCAGTTTAGGATTTTTTATGATCAAAAAATTAATTTAAGATAAATTTATTATAAATATATCAATTTGAGGTTTTTCGTGACGTTAACTCAAAAAAATTTAGTGATCGTGTTAATTCAAGGAGTACTTTTTGTTCCTGTGGTCAATAGCCTACGTGGCTACTAGTCAATAAGATAAACTATGCATACTTTATTAGCTAATGATGTCATCCCATCCGGATAAAGCCAAATTGGCTTCGCGAGTAAGGAAGTGCAAAAAACGCAATTTTGTTATGACAAGATAGGCATATTCGTACAACTTGCAGAAGCTTCCTCCAATAATTGCCCCCACCAACTTGGTCCTAATCATGACAATTCTTTCCTGCATTTCCTATGGAAATGCCCGCATCCCAGGAGATTACAATCCGAAAGAGGACAAGAGCAAGTGTTCCTGTGATTGTAAGCCCCCCATATTATAAAGGGTTTTGTTGGCGAGAAGCGTTAAGGACGCATAAGAAATGATTGGATTAGGTGACAGCTGCTTTTCTTAGGGAGAAGAAGGAGAAGAAGCAGCAGGTGTCATTGGTGGAAGAGTGTAGCTGCAATCATGCACGTTGGGGTTGGTTTAAATCAGATGCACTATTTCTTTGGAAACTAACCACCAATTTCAAAGACGAAACCCTGCATGGATTTCACTAACATATCTGTCAAAAATTGTCGGCGAAAAGAAAGAAAGAAAGAGAAGTGATCGTTACAAATTGGTGGTTATTGTGTTTTTAGTTTTGGTCATGAATTTCAGTTTTCCCTCCATATGGTTACCAACTTCGATTTTTCAAAATCATTTTGATTTGATGTTGCTGGGGTTTAACAGCGTATGTGTGTGCCTTCAATATTAGCAAATGAGTATGTGTTTTAACTCCAGAGAGATGACCTGACCATACATATCTTGAGAGGTGAGACAATTCTTTTTTCCCTCCAACACGACGCAGACGTGGATGCATCATATCCTCCATATCCCCCTTTTGAGCACCACTAATACAGACACTTGAAAAAACAACTTGAAACTGAGTCTGCAGTCTCAGTTGCTGAGGACAAAATGGAGGAGCACTTGACGCCTCCCATCTCAAGGACGGGAGGAAGACAAGGCATGTGCATTTATGTACATGGTATCTGTTTGTAGGTGTTGAGGGAGATGGAGTGTTCCTGTTCAAACAAAAGGAATGGGCCACATGCTGTCTCCGGTCGAAATTATGCGCTGGAAGCTTATTCTAGACATTTTATGTCTGGCACTGCAAGAGAAGCCACACTACAGATGAATTTAGGCGTCTGCTATCTCCAACTCAGTCTCATCTTGCAATCTCTGTCCACTTGCTTGCCTCTCTGCTCTGCTCAGTCCATCCTGAACTCAGACCAGTGATCAGATTGTCCAAATTCTCATGCTGCTGCTTCTGCTGCTCGCCACACACACATTGTTGCTCACCACCTTACATCACTGCTTCAATGAATCCATTGAAGGAAAAAGAAAAAAACTCCAAACTTTTGTTTCCATTTTGCAGTTACTGGAAGATTTCTGTGACCGTAATTTTCCCAACTTTTGTAGTGATTCTCGAGTCTTCACGAGAATAAGTAATGAGAAACGCTATGGCTTTAAGGATTAGTAACACCTAAAAGTATCCATTGATTGAACCATAGAAAGTGTCGATGACATCGAAGTTCTTGGCCAATCTCATGCACCTTCATTCTTTAAGACCAGGGTCAGCATCCTACCTAGATTCTCCAATTGCTGCTTGACTTAGACAAAGTAATCTAAAACCTACTAACGAATCAATAAATTGCGCTAAACGAAGACTCACGAGGCATCGCACTGTTTTGTTTTGTCTCGGTATGATCTATTATGCACACAGAATCCTTCTTTTGCTCCTTTCCAATCATTAACTAGAAAAGTGGCTCGACCAGAGCATCGAACCCGCAGCGTGAAGAATCAGTACACAACTGGACAACCATATTAGGTTTTTTCTCCGATGCATTATTCGACAAAAAAAATATTCTCTTGGCCTTTCGAGACCCGTGATGTTCTCTAGCCATATTTGGAGAATCTCCATATTATATTGTCATCCAGAGAAGACTTCAGGGACAGCGCACGAGAATGGCACTCCCCATCAGAACCAAAAGCAGGCTTCTCCTTTCCTTTCTATCATTCAAAAAGCAATGTCCTTAAAGCCATCTTCGAATCTCAAATAAAAGATTGAACCGAGACGCGTGCTAGGTAGATCAATCAGTCACAAGAGCAGGCACCCCTAACATATTATCAGCAAGGATGACCGGCATTCCATTTTCAGGTTCTGGGACATTATGCAGAGTTCAGTATTCGAGCTTTTACTTTTTCCTTTATTAAGCTCTTGATATATTCCCAAATTCTGAACTAGATTTCGGTTATGACTTCAGGAATGGTGAACTTCACATTAGAAAATTAGAAAAAGCTTTCTAGATGACAAGAAAGTTTTGCAAAAGATGTCCCACTGTGGCTACTTGCAAAAAGATTCTCCGAAAAAGTGAAGCAACGATGGTGAGTCCTTTCCTTGAAATCGTGGCATCAAGAACCTTATCATTCCGATTTCCTAATAATTCATTTAATTTGACCAAATAAGCATAAGAACAATCCGATATCAAGTCATCGACAAAAATCAAGTGAGACGATCAATGAAACCGAGAGATGCCAAAATCTTCTAAAGAGAAATTAGATTTCCAGTAACAAAGAAAACTTTTGTATTTCACGATAGCGACTTCTGTAACAAGCATCTATCCTCGATTCTTTTCTTTTTTCCATTATTTTGTGCTAGAGGTGACCCTTGATGCACCACTTTCACCTCTGTTCCATTTCCATTCTGCATGTCCCAATCAGCTAAGTTAGAGTCGAAAAGCAGCTTTCCGAGCGAGTCAATCCTGCACCGGGCATTCCCGTCTCTTTCCTCATCGGGCTGCTTGGGGTGGATCTCGATTCCAAACTCCGCCTCAGAAGTTGTCTCATGGCGGATATCAAGTGCACTGTAGGATCCGGAGGCGGCTCCGAGGACTTGAACTTCTTGCAGAAGTTCATATGCCTGGTCATGGCCTCTTCAGTGCTAACAAGCCTATCAGTTCTTACAATTTCATCTTTTATGGCTTCCGCGCATAGCCCGCATATCCATTTACCGTGATACCGTTCTCTGATGCGTTCGATATACGCGGGCGTGCATTCTTCTGTCAACCCACAGCAGTCGCAAATGACGAATTCCACCTCAATTTGAGCTGTGCCCACGAGTATGGCAGATGGTTGAGTCTCTGGGGCCGAGATCACCAAAGGGTCGCTGATTATGGTTGCAGACATGGTTAACAACCCTGTGATCAATGAAAAAAAATCAGTTGAGACACACAGCACACCACGAAATTGAATCAATATTAGTTACTACTGCTAATTTCGAGCCTATTCTCCAGCTGCATCAAAGATGGAGCCTCAGAAAAGGTGATTATGGGAAACTTGTCCCATTTAAGTTCCCAAAATGTTTTCTTTTCATGTTCAAATTGATCACAGATATAGCTTAAACTGCAAAGAGCAACGAGACCCAGTCGCATCGTAATTTTCAAAAGCAGGACATAGAAGGGATGAAAAAAAAAAAAAAAACAAAACTTTTCTTCGAGATTAGTAGGAGAAACCCAACCAAAAAAAAAAAAAAAACTCTACGAAGAAGAAGCCGTACGCTATCCACATTCTACAAAGTTCAGAAACGTGTTTGGTTTACGCAAACGAAACCATCTACTCCGCAGTTCCATGTCCACGATCAATCAATCGGAAGCTAAAATGAGGCAAAAACAAAACAACTCAACCTCCGTTTCCCCGAGCACCCTCGATCCAAAAACAGCAACACCCACTATAGGACCAGACCCAAAAAAACCGAGCTCGCGATCGAAGGAATTACCAGCAGAAGCAAATCGAAAGAGAGACCCAAGAAGCCGGCGCCCGGCGGCGCTTCCTCCCTTGTCGATTCCCAACCGCTCTTCCCGCGCCCGCGAATCAAAACCCACCTCCACCTCGTCCTCCACCTCCTCCTCCTCCTCCTCCACCTCCCTCCTCCCTCCGGTTACCTCTCTTTCTCCCACTCGCCTTCCTCGATCGTCTCTTCCTCAGCGACGAAAGCCCCGCAACAACGCATCACAACCATTTCAAACAAGAAGAAAAGAGAGAAGAAAAAGATGGAAGCTTTCGTGCGCGCGCCCCCCCCCCCACACACACACCAACACGAGCGATTCCTCAAACACCCCCACTTCCCGAAAATCCCAGAATCACACTGATCGAATGAGAGAGCCAGAGAGAGAGAGAGAGAGAGATTTTGGGGTTGGCTTCGTTCGCACAGTTGGGGAGCAGATGAGAGATATATATGAAGGAATGAATAGTAAGTACGTAGTTCGTACACAGAGAGGATTTTAGAGAGAGAGAGAGAGAGGAGTAGAGGGAGACTCAATCAATGATTGGAGCCAAAGTTTTAAAGAGGAGTTTTGGAATACAGTACAGTGTGAATCCCACACGTACGCAGAAGGGTGTTTCGCTGTCCCAGCCAACTCCGGCCGTCCGATCCGTCCATCACCCCCCCAGCTACCTACGCTTGGTTGTTAGTTGTTGTTGTGGGTGGGGAACGGAACGGACCGGACCGGACCGGAACGGGGACGGGGTTGCTCTTCTTTTCTTTTAGCGAATTTGTTGCTGTTGTTTTTCCGGCGGTGGCCAATGGGGTGGTCCCCACGTGTGCTTCGGGTTCGGTATTTTCATACCGTATGTGAGCAAGTATATATATATTTTTTTTAACGGATTAATCGGCGCTATGAATCCCTAATTATAGGGGTGGGGGGTGGTGATTGTTGGATTTTGTTTACTTAAATGCAACTGAAAATCAGTACCTAAACTGAAGCTTCCGTTTAATCAACAACCAAACCAAAAAAAAAAAAACAAAAACAAAACAAAACAGAAGAGTATCGCCAAACCAGAAAAGAAAACAAATTAAGATCGAAAATCGAGGCGCGATCGCAAAGACCGGAATGGGGCTTTGATAACCAAAAAAAAAAACAACAGAAAACAAAAATTAGTCAAGAAAGGGAAAGAATTTACTTAATTCATTGTAAGACATGTGAGAGAGAGAGAGATTAAAGTAGGTTCCATTTTTTCCGCAAAAACTTTTTTCGAGAAGATGTCTTCCTAATGAATTGAAATCCTATGTTTAAATTCAAGGAAAATGATTTTACTCTTTAAAAAATTGCAAAAATCATTTTTTTCACAATATGACTAGGTAATCCACGCTTAACCCGAAACTCTACATTTGGACACGGAAATCTCGACTGTGGGTCCCAATTCTCCGGTGTTCAGGACCAAGTCCCCGGCATCCGGGCCTGAGCTTGCGACACCTTCGCCCTAATGAGATCAAGCTCGAGACCCCAATGACCGAGCCTGGGACCCTTGCGCCCAAGCCCATCGAGGTCGAACCTGAAGCCCTCGGTGCCCATGATCGATGCCCCGGCACTTGGCCCCAAGTGCATGAAGGCCAAGTGCGAGATCTCGGTACCCAAGCTCGAATCCCCAACACCCGAGCCCGAGTCTTTAAAGGCTGTGTTAGGGTCCCCAACACTTGAGCTCTAGTCCCCGGCACTCGCACTAAAGTCCACAAAGGTCGTGTCCGGGTTCTTGGCGCTCAGGCTCGGGTCCTTGGTGCTTGAGCCAAGGTCTATCGAGGTCGAGGCCCAGGATCTCGATGCTCGCACTCAAGTCCATCGAGGCCAAGCTCGGTATCCTGGCGCGACCTATGTGTTCGTGCCCCGATCCCCGGCACCTGGGTCAGGGTCCATTGAGGCGGGATTCGGGACTTTAGTACTTGTACTTGGTTTTTTGGCTGTTCATGCGCAAATTACTAACCCCCAAATATTATATGTCTATTTAGGAAAACTAAATCAGATTTTTCATACCAAACGAAGAAATATATTTTCAAATTTTAGTCAAAATACCGGAAAATATTATCATATTTTTTAAAAATAAGTGTCACGTTTTTTTCAAAACAAACGGAGCCGTAAATTTAGAATCTTTGGAAATTCTATGAAATAGAATGATAAAAATTTGATGAGCGTTTTGAATAGCCGTTCAATTTATCATTTGCTAAAATCACTATTTAGTCACGCATAGTAGATATCGACTTTCCCGAAACTTTTTCGCCAAAGTTTAGTGGTTAAATGTTGATTTGAGTTTATTTTATAAGGTAAAGATTTTTCCTTCACCTTCCCAAAATTGATTATGTTTGTCAATACATGAAGGGCATATGAGTACACATACCCATATAAATAATGGTTTGTCTTTCTTTCTGTTTTTTTTTTTGCGTGAAATACCTTTGGAAGCTATACACCCTGAATAATCTTCCCAAGATGAGCACATTTGCCACGAGATCATTAAAAAAATATGGAATCATCTTTTTTTTTTGGACCAAATGCATGAAAAGAGAGATAATTTCGAGTTAATTAAGGTGAATGATTGAACCATGGTCATGCTAAAAACCTTAGGAAGGGACCCACAATGATGGTAATGAGGGCAAGGCTTAGTGGCTGGTGGGGTTATCAATTTTGGGGGGGGCGCACAATACTTAGCAAGAGAGATGTGCATCCCACGCAAGCCACATTCGATCGCCACTACCGAGAAATCACACCATACCCATCATTTTTTTTTCACCCTTTCAAAACATCGGCACGCTCATCGGAAATCTTCGATCGGACGATTCCGCGCAGATGCGAACCGCCCGACGACATGTCGATCGATTAAGCGCCCTCCTCGGTTTCACATTGGACGGTCGTGAATGAATGCATTCGAATTACTCGAATATCGACCGAAACAGTGTCGTGTGGGACGCATACGTTATGGTGATGCACGGAACAAATGTGGGATATATATGACCCCTTGAGTTGATGGAGATTCCTCAACGATCCCAGCAGTGGAAGGAAGAGAACCGAAGACCCGACCAGTCACAGTCAAATAATTTCGTTCAATTAATGTCAGTGGACCAAACGCTGCTCATTTTCACAAAAGAAAAGCAAAAGTGAGGACATTATTGCGAAAGGGACCTGCACGATGCCATACACCAGCGGCCACGCCACCGATCAAATCCCAACCCCACACTGTACACTCAATTCTTGCTCATTTTATTCCATTCACAGTTTCATGATTAAATCCGTCAGAAATATCACAACTCGATTTGGCCGTGAAAATTTACGTGCTCTTTGTATACGTGTCCGTCTTCCTTCCGTTTATTAACTTTCTGATATGGTTATCAGAGTCAGTTCTGTCTATTTCGCGTGTGCGCCCACTCCGTTAGTCAAATTTCACGTGCCACTCTCCCGGTTCGAAACTCGATTTCCTGCGTCGTTCCGAATAGGGTGATTTTGGTGTGGAAAGAACGGTCAGGTTCAAATGGTGGGGAACTCGCTATGCTTGTGAAACGTGGGCAGTGCCAAAGTTTTGGAGCACATTTGGCGTCTTCTTCTTGTATTTATTATCAACTAAAGGGCAGATCCCACAGGATGGGGCATTCATTGTTGCCAAACGAAAACAGCCTTCTTAGGTAAAGCTTTGAGCCCTGTGCACTTCACACATTGAAAGCCCGCCACATTGCCTGATTCGGTCAAGCATTCCCACATGCCATTGCCATCCCACCCGACTCCTGGATCGCCTTGAATCATCTGCAACACCATGAACGAGAGAACACGGAATCGACAAGACGAAGGGTGCAGCTCATACGCCAAATTCACATTACAGATGTCTCTTAGCTTAGCCCTCATCGGATGCTGCAATTCAGCCCATAACACGTGGAAGAATCACCAGAATAACCAACGCACACGCTTGTTATTTTCATAAGGTCAATATACACGAAAACAATTCTTTTTTTCCCACGCAAATCGATTAAACAATGTAAAAGCGAGTCAAGCCCACGTTTTAATGCAGAGGGTTCATTCTTTTGCGAGATTTTAATTTTCAGTTTTGTTGGAGGCAATGAATATTTTCATTCTTGTCCCCATTTGCTTACGAAATTAGAGGCGGGATCGCTTGTGAGCCACGCATTTGTTTCTGTTTAGAATAATGCTTTGAGGTCAGCCAAGTAATTCCTTGCTATGGGGTCAAACATTGTTGAAGGGTTGCTTGCCATAATAACCAAAGCCAAACAAAAGATGAATAAGCACCACATGTTTGAATCGCCGCCGACGTGGCTATCACCTGATGTGGGAATTGGAAGGTGACTCCAAATTACGTGTCGATCACCACTTATGCTAATTCTAACAAAAGGCAATAAACAAGAGGCCAATCAATGATTATGCCATCGGGGCCAATCAATGATTATGCCATCGGTGCATGCTTTCTTTCTGCTCCTTTTCTCTGGCTAAAGGCCTGCCAAATGTTAATAAACAACAGTGTTTTGGGTTGACAAAGGAAAAGGAAAGGGTAGGGCAGAAATGGCGTGTAGCAAGAGTGGATTGACAGATCAGAACGACGCTTGGCAATTCTTGTTTACGAGTGTGATCGTGAAGTTTCTTTTTTTGGGGGGAATTTGCTTACAGCCACGACGAGACATGGCAATCCTTTTTCACAGCAACATGCGGATGTGATGAGAGATCCTTTTTCTCGAAAGAATTGCAGGATGACTTAGTAAGTATCACGTGATCTCGTGATCTGTGTTTGGACATCGAAAACAAAACGTTGGTTGGCTCTAGCCTCTAGGTATGTCTAGAACATTGACAAACGCGATGTGGTTCTGTTAACCAGTATGTTACTAATTAGGTTCTACCTAAAATAAGAAAGGAAGGAAGGAAAAGTCAACTTTAATAGGGTCTAGGATACCCCAGGAGGGGTAAGCGGTTCCCGGTCCGATCCGATCCAATCCAAGAACCGGAAACCGGATCAGCTAGTCTTGAGACCGTAAACCGGTTTCAATGGGACCAATCACTTATTGGTAAAGGCAAAAGGGAATTGAGAAAATTAGATTAGACTTTCTATTTTTTTCAAAAATTTTAAAAAGTAAATAAATATATATATAAAAATTAGAAAAATATATATTTATTGATCCGGTCCAGTCCGGTCTAGTTCCCACCCTAGAACCAGGAACCGGACCGCCCGTAAACCGGTTCCACTTTTAGGAACCGAAAACCAGACCGATATTCTCGAGAACCGGACCAAACCGATCGGTCCGGTTCGATCCGGTCCGGTCCAGTCCTGATTTGAACGGTTCATCTTGCTCACCCCTGCACCCCAGGCAAAACACATTTCTTCTGCACCTTCAAACCAGGGTGGATTGGCTAACCACTTGAATATACATATATAAGATCACGACCCCCTTGATTTCGGTGAAGATAAATTAACTCTGATCAATCCCATCGAGATTATGGCATATATATTAATCAAAGAAATGGATCTCCCTCAGTCAATGATCTATTTTCGACATGATTGACATGATCTCTATTGTCCCGATTTAATACTGAGAGGACCCCAATCTACTTCCTGAAAATTAGCCTCGAGCATTCATGTGATGTGACCTTATCACGTCATTATTTCATCTCTATAAAACAGACGCTTATAGAAGGAAAATAAGTACAACCATCCCCATTCATCAGTCATCACACCATCCATCATTAGGATTATTCATACATACAAGAATGAGGTCATACTATAAAATATAAGCCAACTTCCCAAGATTGAAGTCCGTCCACGTAAACACTTTCCCAATTCTATTATCAGTTTCCTTTCACATTCAGCCTTCGAAGTCAAATCGAACCCACCCCCCAACCCCCTCATTAAATTCAGTTCGAAGATTCGCGTTTCGAGTCGATACCATCTCTCTCATGTCGCATGGTGTCGTGTCGTAATCAAAAGGGATGGAGATGGAACACGTGGGGAAACTGTGCATGTTAATGTGAATCTTATCGTTAGGCCATAGGCAGCAAAGTCAGCTACAACGTCAATCAAACACCATTTTCACATTCATACCTGCATCCCTCTCTCTCTCCCTCGTTTCCCATTCTTTTCCAACAAAGCTATTTTCTTTATAACGAGACATCTCGTACAACATGTACATACTACTATAAATCATGTTTCGGCGTTCTCATCAATGGCATTGACTACAACAATTTGCTGAACAGTAACACATACTAAGAGCTACGGAAATAATTTTATTTCCTATGAAATGTGACAGCGTTCATCACAGATAGCTTCCCTCAGCATCAACATCAATAATCGTTGGTCAGATTGGCTTAGGTTACTTAGTTATTGCGCGCCTCGGAGATGCATCATGCCGTATGGTCATAATCGCCAATGAGTGTCTAACTAATCAAGAAGAGTATGATCACAATCAATTTGGTCAATAAAGTAGCTGAATGCATTTATATCTCGAAAAGTTCAAACAACAATCCAGCATCCAAATAGAAATATTTATTCAACGCAAGATGCAAACTTCATTCAGATGAGATGCAACAGACCAAGTTCCGAGTGCGATGCTATCCTCTAATACAATGAATGCTAGGTCCTACTTCAATGGTCTTGCCCAAGTTGTAAGGTTACAATTTGTGTATAGATAATGCTTCTACAATACCTGCACATGGATCAGGTAACTAACGATTCAGGAAAATTATCAGTATACCCATCCAGAACCCGACGAATCACTTCCCTTCAAAGAGGATTGGATTGTGGAATTCTTCCAAGTAACTACCATCCATTTCTCTCAATCTCGAGTGACATGGCACACTTACTAGCCTAGGAGTAGATTGCATGAGTAATGCCTGGCAAAACCTCGTACGATTTTAAGGGATTGAAATGCTAAAGACTACCAACAAATCAGCCATCGTATGTGAGAGAACAAACACAACCAAATAACCAATTGGACTTTCGAAACAATTTTACAGATGAAAACCAATATAATCGCATTTGGGAGATCTTTTTTAGGTAACAAAGCAGACTGAGAAGAAAACGAAAAACAAAGAGATCTAATTTTAATCCAAAAACTTTACAATGGGTTAGCGTATGGGGAACTGTACTGAGGTCATACCTGTTAAACCTTCTGGCACCTTTGTTGCCAAGAAGAGCTAGAGCACTTCTACTAAGAAAACTGTCAGTAGGCTACAGCTACTTTTCCCTCCACATAGAAATTAAGGGTCAAATTTGCAAAAACCTCGAGGTTGCGGCGTGATGGTCATCCGAAGTAATTGATACCTTCTCACTCCCTATAATACAACCTCTATTGTGTTCTCAGTTAAGCTATAATCACCTTCATCACCTACTCCTTCCTTCTCAAGTTCTCCTATGAGCTTTTCAATCTTTCTTCTGTAGACCGGCATGAAGTGGTCAGCAACCATAGTTTGACACAACCTGATTTTACTGTATAATGAACGCGGAGTAAGGAAAATCCCGACTTTGCTTTCCAAACTAGTGTCCGATTCACATGTATTAGGGGTGTCACTTTCAGCTTCATCAGAGTGAAGGGTTATTATATGCATGATCTTCCCTGGAGGAAAAAATCTGTGCGCTTCCTTGATTTCTGTGGCAGAGCTCTCTGGCTGTGCTTCACCTACCTCGGCCATTGCAGCTGCTTCTTCTTCTCTAATTTCCTTCTCCACATCTGTCTCCTCGCCATCCCTCCTACTGTATAGATCATGCTCTAGTTGCTGCCACAACTCAACTTCAGTCAAACGGTCCTCATGCCTATCGTCACTGGTGAGGTCCTCACCACCGTCCCCATCAGCATCACCATTGGCATGTCCATTAACTTCTTCAGAACATGAACATTCGATTTCGGATGTCCATTCAATCCCTTCAGCAGAAGATACAGGAAGTTCGACAGTTCCCATCATAGTTTTCCCTGTGGTTTTGCGCTGGTAAGAAAGAAGAGGCCCGCCGTTTGCTGTCTCAGAGCTTGAACATTCTAGGTTACTTTCCTCATTGAAACTTGAACGAGAGGTAGTGGCCCGATGACGGGGACCCATGCATGACCATGATGATAAACGAAGGCTAGGACGTGTCCATGCGGCCTGCGCCATGCTCTGTGCTCGCTTCATAACCACCTTTGACATGGAAAACCACAGACAAGAATCACTTGATGCATGTTGCTGAACATGCGTACAAAACACTCATGATTTCACCCATCAACCGATCCATGTCGAAACAAACAAATTGAAGTGAAGCTACCAGGACAAAAATTACCTGAGTGCCACTTGAAACTGGACGCAGAATAGCTCCAGCTCCAGCAACTTTTGCTTTTGCACTGGCCATCGATGGAAGACGGGATCCCAGAGCCGATGCAGATCGATAAACAGTGCTAAGAATGCGGGTACGCTCGATTTGATTCCTCAGATCATTCAGCCAAGCAGATGCAGTAACCTTAAAGAGAGCAAAGTGGACTTCGAAATATCAGAAACCAGATTGTGGTCCAAGACAGTGAGAGAGAATCGAACAGAAGGTCCTTTATTATGCAAATATTATAAACCGGATTTTGGTTCAAGACAATGAGAAAGAATTGGTTCAAAAAATGAGATAAGAATCAAACAGAAGGTCCTTCAGTGTTTGGCAGGCATTAATCATGCCATCCTGATCAAGTATGATATCACAGAGAAAAAGCTTACACAATACAACTAACAAGGGAAGAATGAACTTAATCATACAGGTCTAGCAGAGGAATAAAAACTTGATAACTTCCTCTTTCCCAAAGATTCTTAAGAGTAATTACTCTTAACTTCCAGTAAAAATAAGTTATATGCCGGATACACCATAATAAACGGGTAAGCTTAAAATGCATTCTTCTGTTCTGCTTGTTTATCTCTAAGGTCACATGGATCAAGCTCAAGACTTATTGAGTAGAGACCTAAAACCTAGCTTTCAATCAAAGTGAATTCTTTGACAACTCGTAAAAAATACACACAACTATAGTTTGCATGGAGAATCAATCAATAACTTCCTCGAACCAACAATGCTAAGGCTTGTTCAACAATTAGTAGATCACCAACTGTTGAGACTGCTTTACATTCTCCACCAAAATCAACATTACCCTAGACAAATTTCAAAGATTGGCGAACTCAAAGCATGGTAACCACAAAAAAAAAAGGAAAAAGGAATAACCAATGCTGAACGAAGGTGTAACACCAGACAATTGTGTGAGAATACGGTCTTAATTTTCATTGTTCGCATCTATTGTGAAATAACGCCTTCTTAACTTTCTTCGGTCAATTGTTAAGATACGCATTAACAAATGAAACATGAAGGACAAATCAACTCCTTTCTAGCTTTCTTTTTTTTTATGGTCTGTAACTCCTTTCTAGCTTTACATGCCGAAAATCATTATAACTGCCGGAATAGAACAGCCAACTGAAAATACCACCAAACAAGTTTGATCAAGGGCAACAAAGATGAGAAGCAATATTAGACTCACAAACTGCAAATCACATAAAAGACTACCTCTGCTCGCAAATCATCCACTGAAGCTGCTGAAAATGTAGGAACTAAGTCAGCTCCATTTATTATAGTGGTGATAAAGTCATTGCCAGATTCTGCCAATTCCCATGTCATGCATGCAGCTGCCAATATTATATTTGGTTAATGCGGTGGGTAAAAATCATGCACTGAAGAACAAGAATATCCCAAAAAACAAGCTGTTCTATTAGAATTTAATACCTCGTAGAATAGAAAAAAATGCAAGGCTTCTACATAAGAAGAACCAACCTGGAGCAAATGTATAGCACGTAGCAGTTGATAATTCCTTTTGCTCACGCAAAACATAAGTTAAAAGTGCCGCTGTGCCTCCACCCAAAGAATGCCCGACAATCTACCAATACACAGAAGGAGTTACTACAATTTTTTTTTTCATTAGAATTACTGCAATTAATTTGACCCATTACCATAATCACAACGACAACATATACTACAAAGTTAAGGAATCAATGATAATAAGAGCTGCTTCAAAATTCTAAACACTCATTTTCCCCCTACAAACCTTGCATTTGATTCTATGAGGAACAAACTGATCAATACAAGAGTGCCTACCTTGAGCTTATAATCAGGATACTCGCCAAGCGCTTTGAGGAGACAAGGAGTTGCAAGCTTGGCAATCCACCTAGCAGCTGCAACCATTCCACAATGCGCATATCCCAGAACTAAGTTACTAACTCCCCCCTCATGTACAACACTGTGATGAAATGGTACCACAGCTCCAGTAACAGCAGTCAGAGTATCTTTAATGCTATGTGTTCCACGAATCACTAAAAGAAAACATCTTGTGTTGTGATCAACCAAGATGGTAAAAGCTGGCTTTAAAATCTGCAAAATGAATGTGGACAACTTGTAACCACAGAACATATATCATACAGTTTTCGCTATTAGGCCAAGCTATGGTAAAGTTATCTGAGTTGCAAAGTAGCTTACTCCTGCTTTTGGTTCCTGAAGAAGTACTTGCTCTTCAGAGTACCCAGTCTCCTTTAGAAACACAGGGAAAGTCTTTTTGGAAAAATGCCAACAGAGAGTCAACAAATTCAGGAGATATCTAAGCTCAACAACAATTTCATGGCCTTTTAGCTGAAAGCTATCTTCACCACCAAATACGGCGCCAACTGGTAAGTCTCCCTGCAAAACATGGTTATAAGATTAGAAGCATGAAAATGAGGAAATAAAGTTTTTCATGTCTCGCTCGTATCATGTCCAAATTTTAAAAAAAACATAAAAAGGAAGCACTATGCTAACACAAAGTCTTCAATCGCAACAAGCACCCAAAAGGCTCGAGGATATTTAGTTGAGGAGAGAGAGGTATTGCTTAAATACAACACGAGTAAAAAAACTTGCCCCCATCAAGAATGGATGGATTCTGCCGCTCAATTTTAGCGTATGAACAAACGTGAACCTCTATGAGTTTTCCATTAATTCTGTTTCGACGCATCTTTTTAGATGTCTTCCTGGCTGGCCCTCTGTCAAAATCACATTTCCCTCGACCTTATCCTCCATCTGAACAGCAACATGCATGCACATTACGCAACAGAAGACTTCGTCGAGACTACGCTCATGATTCGTGTGAGTACCCCATATCTATTGAGCTTAAAAGTTATAACGAGATTAGATAGCATTCTATTCAGAAAAAAACTTCAGAAGTATCTTGTGAATCCATCGTACCTCCTGAATCCTATAAGCTCATCATCATCCACAACACTCGTAATATGTCTACCAAATCGGCCCAGAAGACAAAATATTAATCAATCCCGGTCCATGATTTTAAACCTCGCTGCATGCTTATTCTAACCCGTTCCTCTATCGATCAAAGTCAATGAGCTCAATCACTCGCTAACATCGTTCCATAGCCACATGGTTAAACATATTTGAAAGACTTCACCTTCACATAAAGATGCATCTTCTACTGGCCGGTACACCTTAACGAAGTCTTACATGTGAATAAACTGTTTCGGAATCCAACTTATAATATAATGCCATGAAGATCAAATGAAGCAGAACGAGATTTTAAAACGAAGCAAAGGAAATAATGCTATTACCTGCCTCTTGAGAAGGAAGCTGATCCCGAATGCCAGATCCCCAATCGGCCACTTACCGAGGGTCTCCGAGTAAGTAAACCTCAGAGTCTCCGACAAGGTGGCGATGGTCTCCAGCCAGGTGGCCGGCGCCCGGACGAGCCGGTGCGAGACCCGATCGATGCCCAACGGGGCGTGGCCGGACCCGACATGACCGTCGTCGCCATCCTCGGGGGAAGCTTCCGTGAGCATCTTGCGATTCAGAGTGTAGTACAACAGAGCAGCAGCGCCAGCCGCAGTAGCCATGGTGGCCGTCGCCATGAGCCTGCAATCACACTCCCCCCCTAAAATCAATCCGCAAACAGAAGATCTCTCGATTTACCCAAAAGCAAAACCACTCGATTCCCAAAACAAACAAACAAAAGAAAGAAGAAGAAGAAGAAACGCTCGATTGCCAAAAAACACAACGCAATCGGACCGACTCAGCGACGATCCACGGAACAAAGGAAAATCAAAAGCGCGTGCGAGCGAGCGAGCGAGCGCGCGCACAAGTCGTGCCTGCACTCTAGAAAGGAAAAGCAACAGGAGAGCTCAACAATCGCAATGAGAAGACGAATCGATCTGGAGGTGGGTGGGGGGGGAGGGACGAGGAATTAAGACCTGAACATGATGATGGAGAACAGAGCAGGGAATGGGGGAGGTGGTGCGCAAAAACCCTAACCATCCAAAAAAACGAAGAAGAGAGAAAGAATAAAAGAGGGGGGAAGAATAATCGCGTGGGGGGGGGAACCTTGGATGGCTTGGTTTGAACTCCAACAAAACGATCTCCAACCGCAGAAGCTTTCCCTTCTCCCACTTAAAAAGGCAATCCGCGCGAGAAATGAGATATGCTCACAGCATCTCCCTCCCTCCCTCCCCCCTTGTGCGTGCGCGTTTTCGGGTCTCTATTTTTTTGCTCCTCTTTTGCGGGGGGTTAATGTGTCGATGGGGATGTGGGGATATCATATCATTTTGATGGTGCGGGCGAACGCGACGTAAAGCATCTGCCGCCGTGGCCGACACGTGCCACGACGGGGGATGGAAAGGAACCAAATTGGGGGGTTAGGGCAACCAAAAGTCGGACGAGTTGGGGCACGATGCAAAAAGTCGCAACCGACTTTCGACTTTGCGTATCGAGATCAAATTACAAGTCCCTCCCAGTTTTTTTTTTGGTCAGAAAGTCCCTCCCAATTGACGTGCGCTCGAATTATAGAATTTGGAGAAGATTTTGCATTGTCCGAGTGAGTACACAACTCGACATCTTGCCACCTTAAAAAACGAAAGTCCCATCGTTTCTTTTCTTCTTCGACAAATCCAGTTCGGTTCATGACCGGGATTCGCATTTAGTTTTGATCTGGCACCTAGATTTTTTCCAGCTTTTTGTTAGACATTATAACTGCAAGTCAACCTGCAGCCGAAACTAATGCAGAGACTTTTGGATGGTTACTCTGATTCATGTAGACATTATTATATAAACAAGTTCTAGACCAAGTAGCCCTCTATGGGTTCAGTTCGCCGGTCTCACTGGTTCCCACGCATGGCGCTAATAGCAGACCGATGCATGCAATAACCTTTCCCGACTTCTTTCACTGGATAACCCAACAAAGAGCGTTTCTCCTGTACCCCTTAAACTTCAGGTTCTCTACATAATGTGAGGTTTGTTTAAAGAAGAACCGAATATCACTAAATCAAAGAACACGGTATGTTTTGCCGGACAAGGATATCTAGGAAATAAAACTCAGAATACTTTATGACCTCACTGGTAAAACCGTAGTTCAGTGAAGACCACCGCTCGTCAATCTATCCTGGCTTCGATTGTGTTCTACGAGATTAACTTGTCCACCATTTATGTTTAGGTGTACCCGCTTAAAAACCATCGCGTCAGGTAAGGTAGATGATCTGAAAACCAATCAACTCTACCGCTCGGCCACTCAGAGAAAAAAGGAAACTGAGTAAGATCGAAGAGTTCTCACTGCTCCCTTACTATCCACCACGCTTTTTGAATTGTCATCTGAAACTAGAATTTCATGAACAAATGTTACAAACTTCGCGATAACAGAAATGGAAAACCAACAAATGGCATCTCCCGGATAATTGTACTTAAGCTTCGTAAGATCTTTGGAAACATGAAATACTCAAGACATGTATTTCTCAAACAGGTTCATCACACACTTAGTCGCGCTCACTAATTGCAGTCAAGTGCCCGTCGATTTCCTCAGTGGACAAAACCCTGAAGACTAGATTATCACTCCTCACCACTCCGACCTACAAAAAGCATTAAAGGATTCATCATCAGATAATAGAAGAGATTCATAAAAAGAGTGTCATTTCCAATGGAAAAACATGTTCCGCAAACACGATATGAGGAGGACTCATCATGTGAACTGGATGTCTCAGGTGTACACGGCAAAAGCACGCACTTCAGCAGCAGCTTTTGTTAAATTAATATTTGGCAAAGTTCATCCACATCAAGTCAGCCTCGGTGGAGGTCCAGTGTTACTGGCACGGCTATACTTATCATGTGAACTTGACGGTGTATTCTCATTGGCTCTAGAGAGAAAAGTATAATGAACTAAGAAGCAATTAAACTTAGAAATATCTAGATGATGCTATAGCATATAAGAATATACTCCTAGTGCTGTCAGTCGAATTGCAATTACTGGTGTTGTTTTCTTTTCAGTTCCTTGTATGACCTTTTCATGCATCCCTTCTCAAGAAGGTCACCTTGCTATACATTCACACAAAGAGCAAGTATGCAACTTCCACTGTGAAATAATTACAACAGGCCGGGCTAGCAGCTACGTGCCACTAACCCATCTACCATTGGAGCAGAAGTGGACTATAGTGATCCGAAGTATGCAAGCATGAAAGTTAAAGTGACGACAAGGTTTGTCACCAATCATCCATCCAGTAAAATATATTCAAGCAATGGCAGGGAAGCAATCCTAGTCTGCCAACACATGTAACAAACAGATATGTACCTCAATCTCATTCGCCTTAAAATCCTCTTGTAGGACAGATTGCAAGGCGGAAATTGCAGTCTACAAAGAAAAGGTAAAACTAACATCAGACCTCGATAAAAGAAACGAGCAAAATGTTAAAAAGAGGGAATAATAACTTCCATGTAGGACTCTTCGAACAAGAACACTTAACAAGACGTACATTCAAAGGAGCTTAAAAATAAATCATCCATCTGCTATATCGCAAAGGATAGTATGACTAGGTAGGGAAAAAGTGGCTCTCCAATTCCTAAAATATAATAAGTGGGAGAATGAAAACCAAAACCGGCTCAAAAAAGCACCTAACGCGTCCTCCAATTGAATCTCACAATTCAAGAAAAACATCTACCTGCACTGTCTCCTCGTATGAGAAAGCAGGATCATTCTTCATTTTCTTTTCCAAGAAATTAATTGCCTCTTGCTCTTTTGATCCAGCACTTGTAGCCTGAACAACGTTACAATAAACAATCTGATAAGCTCTGGATGCAATAATAAGAAGTAATCATTTGTCCTGATGTGTGGCATCATTACATGGCAATAACATAATAACGGGCAACACAATTTTATAGTTCAAAATTGTTGTTTTATTGTGCCATTGATAACAGACACATGACTCTTCTCTGTCATCAAGAACCTGCGACATCCATCGACAGCCATGCAGTAAACCAAACATGATAAGGAGAGTTCAATAAAGACTGTGCAGTCCACAAGCCCAAAAACTAAAAGAAGAGCAATTATCTCCTCACACTAGGTAAAATTAAGGTAGAACCAAGTAGGAGTTATTCACACTGATTAACAGATCAAAGAATGGTTACATTTACTGAGCAGTTCAGTGAACCGCACCACGAGTCACGGATATGGAATAGAGAACAGGATCAAATAGGTGTAAATGCGCAGACAATGTTCTCCAGTATAAGCAGCAAGGCACACGGCTGATATGGGTCAACAACTATTGTCTATTTGGAAGAATTTTACAACAATCTTATGGAAAAGAGCAATGTTCCAAAAGATGCGTGGAAAAGAGACTGACACTGAAAATCAGACAACTAGTATGGTAATGCATATTTCTAGGATTGCAGATCATAAAAGTGCTCATATTACATAACAAGACATCAATATAAACATGTTGAAACTCCTCTCATGCAGGATGCATTTTTTAATGTTGTCAAACGAAATAGTGATGGACAAATACAGGAAAAACATAAAATACCTTATGACCAAAGAAGTGGCCAGCAGGGTCACATTTATATAATCTCGGTCCATACTCTTCATCAATGCCCAAGACCATTGCAACTTCCAGCAACAACAGCGGAAAATCACAACAGAAGAGTAGCATCAGTATGCATAAAAATATAATCATCACATCTGCTGAAAGGAACAAAAAGAATTAGAGCAAAAAAAAAATGAATGGATAGCATTCTGAGGCATATGAGGTGCTCCATCTGCCAGAATCAGTCAGCAGAGGAATTCATAACTGGGTGAATGGGTAGAGACCAACCTACTCCCAGTGGTCTCATATAAGCATGTTGAGTATAGATTTGGGACTTGTCCGCTATCCTGATATTCAAAGAACACAAAGTAAGCTGAACAGGAGAATTGACCAGTATAAAGTGAGTGTGAAGAAGAGGTCCTGCTTGTAACAACGGCAACAAATTACACTAAAAAAAGCCCAAATTAGAGGTTTTCACAATATATTGGCAACATAGTGGCAATACATAAGAAGGTAAACATTTGAGGCATTTTGACAATAGAAAGATTTGGAAATTGTACAATGAAAAGATGCCATTACAGTCTTTAGGCTGCCTTTTTTTTTTCCATTCTTAATGGCAGCGTCAATCGGAAAGTCAAATACAGGATCATGATCATTGGTAACAAAGTAAAATGTGGGGATCACAACGTTTTCAGGTAGATCAAATAAACGTGGCAACACAATTATCTACCCCTGGGCCGACTTAGATTGTCCACAGCTGTAAAAACATCCTTCATCAGGGAAGGGAAGGGCACAAATGAATACATGAACTACAGAGCTAAGTCATGATATATAACCCTTCTCCTTCATTTGACAATATACCAAGTCTACAAATGGGGAGCAGCTATAGCTCAAACAGACACCCAAAAAGAGTTTAATCGCTTAATGCCAGTATCTTGCAGGATCAAACTGACTGTGTCGTACTACTTATTCATTCCCGAAAATGAGTTTAAACACTCGATGCCAGAATCTTGCAGGATCCGACTGACTATATAGTACAAGGTTCTCATTTTATTTAAACACGTGACTAACCATTTTGCCAATACATCCACAGGCATCTCGTATCCATATCTGAAGCGGAACTCAGCTGCCTCATTTCGTGCTTGCTGAACCAAGGTCCTAGCATCAGCTGTAAAATAACGTTGCCAAAGTCATAGAGGCTACAAAGCAAATTTCAGAGAAAAAAATATATAATTGATTCCATGGGAATAATGTGATTAACATGCAAGACACCAGTAGCCCATCGTCATTGTAGAGCATATGTTATACAGCGAAAAATTGATTTATTGTCTGGTACATTCAGTGAAATGTGTCCTCATCACTAAGTAGCTCTAACCTTTTCTATCTTATCACGAGTAGTCGTACAACTAACTATCCTATTTCATCTACTGAACGAACTTTTTGTCTGCCTTGAGAAGAATGCACCCTTACCATACAAACGAAACTAATCGTAAAAGCATTTTTGTCAACACGAGCTAATGCACATGTCTTAGCTCTCCAGATGCCACACACTACAAGGCTCGCTTGCCGAGATACCAAAACTCACAAAACCATTTCTTAAGCTTGTACAACCGCTCAGACAAACAAATTTTCACCATATATAGGAAATTAAGCGAAAAATCGGAGTGCAACAAACCCGTCATTCCAGTAGCCAGCAAGC